ACTTTACTTTGACTGCTATCACATGGGGGGGCTTACAAGCTCCCCCATGTGATAGCAGATGGTGGTGACAGGTACTCTTTAAGGTGATGCTGGGGGTCCAAAAGACCCCCAGTGTCACCTTTACACTGGAAATAAGCTATTGAAGTGCAGATCGCACTTCAATAGCTTATAGCTGGGCTCCAGGAGCCCAGAACTGACAGCTTCGGGACGCAGAAGCGATCTGGCGACAGGTAAGTCGCCAGGATCGCTTCTGTTGTAAAGCCGACAGTCGGCTCTACAAGTTTAAACAGAGTCCCGGCGGCAAAAGTCACCGGGAGTCTGTTTAAACAGCCCCGATGCTGGCGACGTACACTGTACGTCGTCAGTCACGAAGGGGTTAAGGCGAATGTCTATGCAACCAACAAATGTAATTTTTTTAAATTTCCTTTTTACAACGGCAAAGTGTTAAATACTTTGTGTAAATCAGATGGTAATAATTCTAATTAAATCCATTTTAATGCCAAGTCGTAACACTACAGTATATGAAAAAGCAAAACTAGGTTAATACTCAAGCACTTTATATATACAATTTATGATTACATCTTAAACCACTTCCGAACCCTAGAATCACTAGTTGACTACTGAATACTACTATATTAATATCACCTAAAGCTTCTACGTCTTACCTCTACCAAAACTGATGTGAGTGCATTTCCAATAATAATGAACAGCATTATTAGACGCCAATGAAATGGGACGCAGACCAGCTATGTAAGGAAAAAACAAACAAAAAAAATACAATATATTGAGTGAAAGACAGTTTCTTAACAATCACACTTAAAAGGAGAATTATAGGATGAGTGAAATACACTCATCCCAAAAAGTTAGAGCCGACGTGTGACACTGAAGCAGTCACACGTCAGCTCTATTGATCGAGTACTTAGTGATCACAAACCGATGATCACTCAGTTCACGATCTTCTCGCTGCAGAGAGCAGTGACTGTCGGTCACGTATGCCCGCATAGATTTCACCCTCCCCTCTCTGTTCTTTCAGCACTGACTGACATCTGGCTTTGCCTCTAGAGAGAGAGACAGAGCCAGATGTCAATCAGGCAGCGGGGCAGTTCCCCACGATATTGACAGGATCTTTCCCGGCTGCAGCGAGGCCCAGCGCTGCCAGCATATAGCAGGCAACAGCCCGTTATATGCTAAGTTTTGGGTCTCCTGTGACCCTAAAGAGACCCTAAAGAGAAGGGCAACGGAATCATTGCAGGTCCATTTTTATTACAGTATAGCTTACCTCAAAGAAGTGCTCAATGGATTCTATAGGGTACAGCATGAAGAATACTATTAAGGCATAAAGAGCCAACACTGATATTACAAAGAGATCTACAAAGAGAGAATAACAGAAGGAAATTTAAATCATTGTATGTTAACCCTCAGGAAAAAAACAAAACAGCTTTTACACTACCAGGCTTTTTTTCCCAGAGAATAGCTGGTTTCACGTTTTGGATTTTTAGTGCCAGTTTTTAAAGTTTTCCCAAAGATATGACTGGGGTGTCAACAAGCTTTCCTCCTTCCCATAATTATGTTTGCACAGGTGAAGCAAACAGGCTTACTTCTGCAATGATCATGTTAACAAAAAACAATGGCCACATCCTGTCCCCACTTCCAACTTTGCCAGATGCACATTTCTCAGACACCACTTGGTGTCTTGACACAGAGAATGCTCAGGAACTGGCATATATGCAACCCTCGCTCCCCGATACATTCCTAAGGGTAAGCCACACTCCCAGGGACCGATGAAAGGCTGGCCCATTGGAGGAGATTTAGTCATGGTGTCCATGTGCAGAATGAAGAGGAACCAGCTGGGACCATGTTGGAGGAAAGATTGTTAGATGGGGGCTAAAGGTTAAGTGTCATCCCAGGTGGGCTGCATGATTTATTAAATGACAACTTTACTAAAGGTGAAGTTGTCCTTTAAAGATTAGATTACATCTCTAGCAGTCAAATCACAAAGAAGACGACCAGCTACTGTCAAAATTATTTACACCAATCACCCATAACACTATGACCAGCCGCCTAATATTCAGTAGGCCCCCTTTTTGTTGCCCTGACTTATAGAGGCATGGACTCCACTATATCTCCCAAGGTATGCTATGCTATCTGGCACCAAGCAGTCAGTAGCAGATCCTTTAAGTCCTGTAAGTTGTGAAGAGAGGACTCCATGGATTGGACTTGTTTTTCCAGCGCATCGCACAGATGCTCGATTGGACTGAGATCTGGAGGCCAAGTCAACACCGCAAACTCATTGTTGCGTTTCACAAACCATACCTGAACCATTTCTGCAGTCTGCATTATCCGGCTGAAAAGGACCACTGCCATCAGAGAATACCGTTTCCATAAAAGGGGTATTTGGTCAGCAACAAAGTAGGTATACGTGTCAAAGTAACAACCACATGAATGGCAGGACCCAAGACTGGCTACCTTCTTCCATTGCTCCGTGGTCTAGTTCGGATGCTTATGTGTCCATTGTAGGAGCTTTTGGCAGTGGACACGGGTCAGCATGGGCACCCCTAACGTGACAAACTGCTGTGTGTGTGTGTGTGTGTGTGTGTGTGTGTGTGTGTGTGTGTGTATTTTTTCTGCTTCCAACACATCAACTTCAGGAACAAAATGGTCACTTGCTGTCTAATATATCCCTCCTACTTCTCGGCGCCATTGCAATGACATAATCAATGTCATTCACTTCACCCCTCAGTGGTCATAATGTTATGGTTTATTCAGTGTATATACACACCTTTTTCCTGCGAACAGCTAAAGCTCTGTATAGCAAGGAATTGGACTGTGACTTTATCTAAACACATTTTCAAGACAACACAAAGCTAAAAGAAGTAAATAAAACCCGTACAGTTTTTGTAGCTGGGCTGGCGAAATGGTTTTCCTTTTGAAAATACAACTGCCACAATAAGATACTGGAAGCAGGATATATAGAACAGGGTTGTGTTCTCATAGTTGCAGATGTTATGCTCATCAACTTCAGTGGCATTTTGATGATCATCTAAGGAGACATTGCATGCACTGGAAGAGAAGAATGGACAGATTGAAACAAGTGTAACAGGCCACACATAGATGACTTGCTTTATGGAATATCTATTAAGGACACTTACTTGCTAGTGGGTGTCCAGACCTCGTACCAGGGCTCCTGTTTCACAAGCAGGAAAGCCATGGTCTGGAATGCCAAGCAAATTAGTATTTGGGAAAGAACAGAAAATAGAAGGGGTCCGGATATTAGACCGGATGGGGGTCTTTGTGCCACTAACGCTTCCGAGGCTGGGTTTAAACTCACTGCAAAAGGAAATTAAATGCTTTACTAAATCTCAATTACACATAAAATACAGAACACATTGTCTATTCTTAATTATGGAAAAATTTTAAAGTAGTACTAAAGGCTGGGCATTTTTTTCTTTTTTTTACCTTAATGCATTCCCCAAACTTACCTATGAAGACTTGTCACCTGTCGCCGGTCCCTAAAGCAATACTCCCTTACCCAAACTTCCTGGTTGCAGGGGAGGATACTGAGCGCAGAGGAGCCATAGGTTCCTTCTGCGGTCAATCAATCTGTTGGGAGGAGAGGGTGGGGCCTGTCATAGGGCTGTGTGTGTATATGGATGCCTCTACAGCAGCCACTTAGTTGATGGAGGCACTGGTGCAGGGGGCTGGAGGAAGAGTGATTGAGGGCCCCACTAGAGAACAAGGAACTGAACATTTTTAAAAAAAGAACACAAGAATTTAACAAGTGTGGGCCTTCTATATATAAAAACAAAAAATAAGCTTTAAATGTCACTTTAATATGAATTTAAAACCTCAAACTTTGTTAGCTTAACTACTGTTTTCCTACCAGGGTGCTTTAAAAGGAGAACTATGTGGTGAGTGAATTACACTCATCCACATAGTTAGAGCCGACGCGCGACATAGAAACTGCTACACATTAGCGCTATTGATCGGAAAGTGAGTGAAAACATACTACCAATTCGCTCACTTCCCAATCATCTCCCTGCAGAGAGCGGTGACTGTCAAGTCACTGTTCTCCGCAGGGATTGCGCCCTCCCCTCTCCTCCCGCGTTTACTGGAGAGACAGACAGTGGCGGGCATACTTGGCTCTGCTTGAGCCAGCTGTCAATCAGCCAACAGGGTAGATCTTGACAGTATTGTCAGGATCCATCCCAGCTGCGGCACGCACAGCATACAGCGGGCAATGCTGAGTTTTGGGTCACAGCAGGATGGGGTATATGTCCTCCCCTGACCCAAAAGAGAACTATGGAAGAAAAAACATCATTACCCCATAATTCTCCCTTAAAGTATCAAGTAACATGATAAAAGTTTCTTACTAGTGTACAAATGTAATTTTCACACACTTGTATCTGCACGAGTGAATTTTATGTCTCTTCTGAAGCGTTAAGAAACAGCATATGCTACTGACTAAGCTCTATCAGGTCAAGAGAGAAAGCAGCAGACATGCCTAAAGCATGCGGAAATATTCTATAAGTGTGCTTTCACACAAAAGACTCTCAAATAGAAATTGGAAACAGAAGTAGGTATGGATAGGAATGGACCATAAAGATAAAAGGGACCTGTGTCACCTAACAATTTCCAAGGAAAGGATTTAATGGCAAGTGCAAAAATCCTATTTTCTTTATGGTTCATTGGGAGACACATGCCTGACTGAGGGATTGACAACACCAAAAACTAAGCTATCAAGCCCACCAAATAACTGTGTAACACTGGGTTCTATAAGCTGAATAAAGGACCTCATATCTGATGCTGGCATCAGACAATACCTGAACATCCACCTGGTAAAACTTAGCAAACATGTAAACAGAAGGCCACGTGGCAGCATTCCGAATCTCATGCCTGATACTGAAAGGGTCAAGAGCCACTTAAAGCCCTAAAAGAGTGGGCCTTAACAGAAAATGGTGGAACCCTATTCCTAAACCTATAGGATTGAATGAGAAGCTGCCTAATCCACATAGCAATAGTGAAATGAATGGCATGCTGTCCTTTGTGATAACCCTCAGCAATGACAAAAGGGAGTCAGTCTTTCGGAAAAAGGCACAAGGCGTGAGGTAAACTCGAACAGCCCGCTTCATATCCAAATAATGGAGGGATATCTCCTTGGAAAGTAGTGAAGCAGGACAGAGGAATGGAAGCATGATGCCCTAGTTAAGGTGAAATTTAGACACTATCTTAGGGAGGCCTTAAGCCTCAATGCAACCTTGTCCCTGTGGAGCATCAGGAAGGGTTGCTTATAGGATAAGGCTGCTAACGCAAAGACTCGCATTGCAGCGGTGATAGTAACAAGAAAGGCTACCTTGTGAATGAGAATAGACAGATAAGTGAATCTGATAGGTCTGAATGGTGGCCTTTAGAGAGCTGACAGAACCAGATTGAGATTCCATGGGGTCACATGTGGAACGAAGTAAATGACACCTTGTATAAAGGCTTTCCATAAGGAATGAAAGACAAGTGGCCTTTAAAAAATGGATCACAAGAGCCGAGATCTGACCCTTAATGGTATTCAAGGCCAATTGCTTATCCAGGCCTGACTATAGAAAGGCCAGGATAGGTCTCACACAATACTTCCAGGTATGCAATTTTCTTGTCTCGCTCCTCACGATGTATGTCTTCCAGGAGTGATGGTAGGCCTTGATAGAAGTGGATTTCCTAGCCTTTAGGAGCGTAACCATAACAGATTAAGATAAACCCCCTAGATCTTAGGACCCGGTCTTTAAGAGCCAATCTGATAAAGCCAGTGACCATGAAGCAGGGTGACAAACCTGTGCTTGGGATAAAAGATCCAGGCGATCTATAAGAGCGCATGGAAAGTCCGCCAAGAGTCTGATGTTGTCAGAGTACCGTATTTGCTTGGGCCAGTCCAGTGCAATGAAAATTACCAGAATGCATTCAGTTCTGATGCTAAGAAGTAGGCAAGTAGGCTTCAGAGGGGGGAAAAGGTGTAGATCAGGTTGAACAGATCCCACAGCATCAACCAGGGCATCCACTGCTACGGCTAGAAGATGCCTGAAGCTGGAGACAAACCTGCTAAGTTTCTTGTTGAATTCAGAAGGTCTAGGTGCAGTGCTCCCCACATGTAACAGAGGTATTGAAATACCTCTGAATGAAAAAACATTCTCTTGGGTCCAGATGTTGAAAGTCTAAGACTAAGAAAGGTCTATCTGCCAATTATCCATGCTTTGAATGTGCAAGGCGGACAGGGCTGGAATGTGAAGTTCTGCCCAAGCCAGAGTTCAACTAGTCATTCATTGAGCTGCAAGACTTCTGGTTCCTTCCAGATGGTAGATGTACTCCACTGCCATGACATTGTCTTACTGAAATACTGATGGTGACCCTGCAGCTGAAAAGTCTAGTCTTGAAGGGATAACTGAATTGCTATGAGTTCAGTATACTGATACAGAGGCGAGCTTCCTCTTGTGACCAAGTCCCCTGGCACCGAATGGGTGTCTAGGACTTTTTCCAAGCCTTTGAGGCCGAGATCCGTCATGAGGATCTTACAGACCAGGAAAGACTTTCCTGACACCAGAGCTTGATTCATGAGCCACCAGGTCCTGGAGTTGTAAAAAGACAGGCTAAGATTAAAGGTGCAAACTGTGACATGAGATAGGACAGTTGGGGCCATCAAAAATGAAATCGTATTCTCAACAGTCAAACCAGTCAGTAGATAACAGATATATCACTGTCCCCTGCAGTCTCCAAAAAAATGATCAGGCATTAAATGTGGCAAAACAAACCTAAGACTGCGGTTACCCTACTTGACCACAGTGTTTGACTCCCTATCTATCTGCTAATGGGCCCCAACAGAAATTACACCACCCCCAGGTCCTTCCCAATAGAAGAGAAGGAATAACACAAGATATATGAATAAAAGAAAACTTACTTGTAAACACCACAACCAGTATGATTGCCAGGTCAATGAAGAGAAACTGGAAATCTCCTAAATTGCTAAGGATCTAGATAAACAAGAAGAAAAACAAAACACACATTTGCTTCTGATCTACAGATGCTTAGTGCATTGCTGAAACACTGCAGTCTGTCACTTTAAAAAACTTTAAAATAAAACTATTTTAAAAAGTATGCATGTATATAAAGTATATGATATAATTAAAAAAAGCTGCACCTAATGGTATGTATAAAAAATCATGGGATTCTACACAGCTTACAACGCCATAATGGAATCTGCCAGAAAGTGAGACCGTTATATATAAACCAAAACAGGGTATTCCCATGAGACTAAAATGACCACACCTATGAAGGCAGACACGGTTTAAATGTTTTTGGTTTAAATAAAGAATGGAAAAAATGTATGTAGTGCTTTAGCTCAGCTAAAAAAATCTCAGACATAAATGATTAGGTAGCATTACACAATGCAACAAGTAAATGGCTATATATTAAAATGACTAATGTGCAGACTATACTCACAGAGTAGAGCAGGGTGACAGTGAAATACTGGATAATACTATACAGAGCCATGAACTTGAACACGCAAAAGGAAGTGATCAAAGCTGCACGTCCTTCCCTACAAGAAAAGGTAGAGAGCATCATAGTATGACAATCATTAGCCCTTAAATAAAATGTATAAGCTAAAGAAGGAATTCAGTGTAGTGTAAAAGCAAACGTGTTTTAAAACTAGGAGTTTTAATTTGTAAATTCAACAAACATTACCCATTCTCCTGACAATGGGAGGGCTGTCTATACTCCGACACATTTGGGTCTGCGACAATGCATTTCAACTACATTGTGCTGACTGGTGACAGAGCTGACACTAAGGAGAATAGGAGGTAACTGGTATTGCATCAACGAAACATGAAAACACATCACATAAAGTTAACCACAGAACTTTACTTAATTGGTCATTTTACTATGAAATGCAGCAGCTTTATGAAACTGAATTGGTTTAAATGAAACACCTCATAAATCGATCTTTTGTTGGTAAAGACTGACAGGTAAGTGGTACTATACCGTATTAGCTTTGGCACACAGTCAATGCTGGGTGTCCGAGAGGTGAAGGGTGATGCTACAGATGCTTCTAACTCCGATAGTGAAATGCCGCCATGAGCTCTCTTCAGTGCCTGTAATGATATCACCAACAATAGATGAACTCAAAGTTGATGCAGTCCAGTATAGAACTTATCTGTAAACCACGATTCCTTAATGTTTTTTCCTCCCTTTGCTCAAAATCTTAATCTCTGCTTAGTTCTCAAATATTGAAAACGTTTTGTAGTGTAGGAGCATAAATATAAGCAAAGAGAGCTCAGATGCAAATTATATTTTCAGCATGAATGAATGTTAGGTTCTCTGAAGCTAAATAGGGAATTATGACCTCACTCCGGTTGAAAAATAAATTAGGATAAATAGCATTGTGTTTGGTGATCTTTACGATGGAAAGGTTTCTCATTTGTTAGAAAAAAGTACAAATATAATTTTCTTTCTTGTCCATTGAGGGATAAAGGAATTCAGATAAAGTCAGGACATCAAAAAGCTGTCCAGCTGAAGGGTGGACAACCAATAAAAACCCAACTACAGGCCTCAAGAGGAGGACTGGGGACTGGCTATAGCACAGGAACTGATGTAAGGACCAACACCCAAATCTGAATGAATGACATGGGACTTCTACCAGGTAAGGCAATCTGCAGACAAGGGGAGCATGGAGAATCATCAGCCTGAAGCTCCAGTAAGATGATGAAGGTCTCCACCAGAGGAAAAGACTCATAAAAGAAGAAATAAAAGGAATACATAGACCAAGTCAGCAGCCATGTTCTTGGTATAACCACTTCCATCGGATGACGTGTATTTACGTGCAAGGAAAGGGCATGAGGCTCGAGCACTGCTGGTCACCCTGAGGAAGCGGGTGGAGGTCCTGTCGGTGCCCAGCTTAACCCTGAGTTAACATATGGACTTGAGCTAGAAGTCCCAGGAATGGGAGGAATCCAGGTAGACTGTTACATCTGCTTGTTGCACAGGTGAAATTAGGAAGAGCAACTAAAGAGGCTCTCAGAGGCAAGGTCAGTCTAAGGACTAAATAAGGCGGTCTCTCTGCACCTGCATCCTGGAGAGAAAAACTAAACTACTCAAGTACCTGTCAGAGTGTATTATCAGTCCCAACTCTACAGAAGGATCTGCATAGAAATTTGCTGATCTACAGGTGTGCGCTCTTCAAGGTGAATAGGAGTCAGGTTCTGGGGACCTTAGGGCACCTATTGCTAAAGTAGATGAAAGAGAAGTGCAGGATTCCGATGATCCTTCCCTGGACATATCCTGCCCTCCCATAACATTACTGATCACAGTGTCAAAAGTGCCAGAAGAGATAACGTCCCTCAGAGGCTAATCGATTCAGATGTTATCAGTTACCAGTGCAACCAGCGTGCTCTGTGCATCTGTATGGACATCTGGCCCAGGTAGGGAGAGAAGTTTAGAGGCTGGTAGCAAGCCATCACAACTAAAGAAAGGGACCCAAGACATCTGCTCCACATGGTCCATGAAACAGGGTTCTACCCTAGCGGAAACTAACCTATTCAGACACGGCCTGGCAGATTTAGGTCAGTGCTAACACAGGACACAGGGCTACCCTAGTCAATTGAAACTGGAATTGTAGAAGAGATTCTAACTACCTGTCAGTAGAATCATTAAAGTTGTAAGCAAGTTGTGGTATGCTTCTTAAAGCGGTACACTAGTTGATTCACCCTGGGAATAATTCACTGTTTAATTAATTTGCTCTCTAAAAAAATAACAACACACTCTCAGGTGGGGCTCAGGGCCCTTCAGGTGCTTCCAGTCTGCAAAGAGGAATGCCAAGAATAGCGCGTGCCTGGAAAAGGAATTTGCAGTTGCGGGAGTTCTATATGACCTAAGGCTGGAGACAGCAGGCCAATCTTCTGAATGTAGGGTAGAGCATACTGCATCAATAAGGTCAGAGACAATTTCTTGTAAATCTGAGGTGATGGGAGAAGATTGCAGCACCATAAAAACAGTATCTCCATAGATAGAGTGTAGGGCAAGAAATGGTCATGGGGACATGCAGCCCTGCCCGATCTGAAGGCGCTTGAGGGTCAGAATTTGATCTGTATATATAGGCCCTATAATATTAGGAGTACCAGGTTCTAGATTACAGGTGCCAATTTTGTGTGCAAACATGTTGTGGCTGTGCAGCAGTAATGCAACTACGGCCAAAGTATGAAGCAAGGCCTCAGTTACTCAAAAAAAAACAAAAAAAAAACAAAAAAAAAACAGCTTGTTCTCACTTAAAAAGTGAGTCTTCAGAGACAGGGTCACACCAAGTCACAAATCTAGATCTGGAGAGTACTCCATTGTTAACTTACACAGTAAACTTAAGTCTGGAAATGCACAATGCAGAGCCCAGTGCCCCAAGGTCACATTCCAGGCTATCCCTGCATGTCCAGTCCAGCAGGGTTGCAAGCAATCTTTTCATGGAAGTTGATGGAAGAAGAATCCATAAAGAAAAAGAAAACAAGAGCTAGAGCTGTAGAAAAGATGACTATCCTCCTGTCACAAATTAGTAGGCATACTGGGTAGAGGAGGGTTATACTTGTGACTTGCCAGAGTATTTTTCAGTTTGCCAGTGCCCAATCCTCCTGTAGGCGTCAGTATAACCCAGCTGAGTCTGAATTCCTATGTACCTCAACGGACGTGAAAGAAAGATGTGCTCATGGATCACCTGTCAAATTTACAAACACCTTAAAGTAAAAAAAACAGGCCTAAAAAATTGTCAGGGCACGCACTAAACTGGCAGATTTGGCTAATTTGCCTAAGAATGCTATGGCATGGTCTGAGTGTATTCAGAACTAACTAGGACAATGCAGGAGTGTACACAATTCAATCTGCAGTGCCATATACTATGTATCCACTTATTAAATGTTTTTATTGTCCAATGACTAGGCCAGGCAAAAAAATAATTCTACTTACTCCACAATCATTTGCGCCATCGCCACACATGCCAACATAGTAACTGTAAAACAAGACAAGAAATAGTTGTAGTATTTTTTAATCATATGGAACAGAAGTGCTGCAGACAAGTCAGAGCTGTATGTGGTCTCTTACTGGCTGTGTCCTATACCGCGCAAGCATTATATTACACACTTCATGTAGACCAGCAAGATTAATTGAAAATATAAATAAATAATAAACTTTATGAGAAAGGACCTATGCTTACAAATGACTTTGTGTTATTAAAAGGCAACGGAACCCAACAAGATAACAAATTGTGTAGTCACTCAAGAATTACATGTTGGCTTCTTATATCTCTTGTAAACTCCAAAGTTTAAAGTGGA